CATCTCTAGTAATGAGGATTACGAAATATATAACTCAATAATATGTTTACTGCTATTTTTTATGTTGTAACGTACGATACGCAATGCCAATAAACTAAAAATAGACCTGGATAATAGTGAAGTAACGAAAATAATTTAATGATATGAACAACCCTGAAACTCGGCAGTTGCTAACAGTAGGGCTGCTATGCGTCCGGGTTTTCCCGAATTTGCCTTAGTTTGGAAGCCGGGTAGGAGCTCATACTCAGTTCGATATCCAAACTTTAAAACAACCACAAACGTCATTTTGTTTAAAACTAAACAAATAATGACACAAAAGGATAGAAGAATATGCAATATACCTACCTAAAATAATTAAATTTAATTTAAATTCTAACAAACAAGCTTACTTGGAAATGTCCGGGTTCTAGTTTAAAAAACCGGGGTTTTCAGACTTATCGCAGTTTTAAAGATTTAACAGATGACAGCCCTAGCTAATGGAGGAATTGATCATTATAAATCACGTTGTTAAAAATTAATATTAGGTTTAAAAACTTTGAAAACGAGATGAACTAGATGTCACTCAAAAACATCGTGTCCACGTGCCTTGATTTCTGTAATCGTGTCATAGGTAAAACAACTAAAACATATATTGTCCAAAGGACATCCTAAGTAGTTACTACAGACCGTTTACATTTAAAAATATTTACAAAACGAGACATGAAAGTTTAATAGGTTGCATTAAAAAAATTGAGTGTTAGAATAGGATTTGCGTATATCCCTCATGTGTTTAAATTTCATCTCACGTTGTAAGTTTTATTAAAACAGAAAAGAAGATGAACAAGACCGTGCTTTATGACATTAGTTGTGGGGGGCTATGTTTGGCAGTTGATTTATTAAGGAATATAATGAAGATATTTGTGAAGAAAAACTAGATGTTACGATAACGTGATACAAAACGGCAGACAGAACGAAATGAGGATTATTTGTAAGAATTAAAACATTAACAAAACAACTGCAACAAAAAAAACAGTAATTTAAAAAACCCAGACTACTTAAAAATTACTGAAAAGCTAAAAATTCAAATATTATTATGCCACATGACACTTCCTCAACTAAGGCGAATCTAACGACTCTACATAAGTAAAGATCTATCAAGCACTTCATGCTACAGAGCGTGTTACAGAAATAGACATACATACATACATAGGTACATATATTCATACATATACACGAAAAACATTACTCTCTTTCTAGTGCAGTCGGGTAAAATCAACCACCTTGCGACGCATCCTAAAATAATTTTACAACGAAGCGTAAAACAATTTGATTACCAACAAAAATGTATGTTAAGAAAGCGATTTTAATCTGTGATAAAAAATACCTACTATATTTAGACAATTTCAGCCAACACGCATATACCTAACCCACGTTGCTGTCGTGGTAACAGACTGGTTTTATGTTCAAATTAATAATTTCACTGATCGCATCATCCGAGCGTTTCAAGGTCGTGAAACAAAACTATACAGAAATCGATTTTATTGTTTCGATTTTTATTACATAAAGCACAATCAGGATATGCAAGATGCAAGGAAATATATTTTAAAGAAAACTATAAAACCTCAGATTAATTGAATAATTTAAAAAAATGTTAAATTTAAATAAAAACGAAATATTTAATCCTACCTATCTTTATACTATATATATTTTATCACTAAAGTTGCAGCCTATAAACGTCCCACTGCGGAGCACAGGCCTCTTATTTCTGAGAGCGAAGAATGCAATTATACAAGGTGGTCTTCAATTCGTACCAAGATAATATTAGCTACATAAATTCTGGTCAATCTAGTCACACAAATGTAAGTAAATGGGTAATAATGAGATATTAAAACAAAGTTTATATTATTATATCAGATTCTCTATACTGAAAGCAGATGTTTCAAATTGGGCCAGGACTATGTACACTACCTCAAAAAAAGATAAAAATCTGTAGAATTCGGGTAAAATACAGGTAATTTATAATAATAATAATTGATGTTTATCAATTATTTTTATCGAATTTCAACTCTTATAAATTTAATTACTCTGTGCTTCTTTTAGAAAATGACAGTAAACCATAAAGCGCCCATTTGTGTGTCAAAAATAAGTTAAATAAACATGTCAAACGTCACTAATCAATAAAAATGACAGCTTACCGCCATGACGAGTTTTTGTTGTGTGTTACAATTTCAAGGGTAATTTTCTATGCTTTACCAGCAACCAAAGCCATTATAAAATAATTGCACAGTTGAGAATCGTTTTAAATGTGTTTCCCTAATTTTGAGTAAAATGTACCAAGACCTGGCCCAGGCTCCATACATTTTAGAACATCTCATTTCATTAAAACTATCTAAAATATAAAAAATCCCAAGTGGTTTAAATAACGTTTCTGGAAACTTGAAAAAGTTTTCATTGTTATTTAAAATCGGTGTGTAAATCGCAAAGATAACACGCTTAAATAATCATAGTACTGCGCAGACTGTGGTCTTATCGCAAGCTTTGTGAAGATACTTTCATTAGTCTAGTCTTGAACAAATACGCAAAAAGGAAATGGTATACATCGATGGAGGAAAGTATGACATTGCAACCCGCGTGGTGTTGTACGAGCCGAAGGCGAGGGTGATAATAACGCGGCTTGCGAAGTCATACTTTCCTCCCGTTGTGCGTATACTATTTTTTATCATACCTAGATCGAAATGAATGTACCTTAAAGTGTATTATGATTTATGGCATACTTTTGACGTTTAAACACAATAGAGCTAGAAATTTGACCTACGGGTATAAAATTAATAAGTCATTGAATTGAAAGGCAATGTGGCACTTTCGTCCCTGAAAGTAGGGTCAAAATACGAACTTTCGATCAAGGTATGATAAAAACAAAATAATATGATCTGTGAATTTTTTTTTAGGGTAAGGTTTGAAATTAAGTTGCCTGAATTTGTGGTGGCGGGTGGTGAGGAGGGAAGCGGGGGAGTGAGTCACCCCCCCACTTTTACCGCCTGCCGGACGTGCTTAGTTTTTTTTTATAAATTTTAAAAATCTCATTTTGAGGTATGTGTATATGTGTATATATGTTTTCGTAATGTTTTGGACTGAGCGGTTTAATAAAAAAAATGACCACGAAGGAGATGGCGGGGCGGGGACTAATGCTCGCTTCGCTCGCTCACTCGACCGTGCCATCCCCTTTTAACCTAACCTGTCCGTGTCCGAGTCGGGGTGCCCTCAGTCCCGAGCTCGCTTCGCTCGCTCTTACACTCAATAAAACATCAAAATATTAATTTTTATTATTACTTTAAATTATAAATCTAATTTATAGCTACAACCGTTTGTAAAAAAGGATCCAGAGGAGTAGCAAAGTCGTTGAAAAACAGGTGGAGGCAGATAAAAACGTTAGCCACATTCACGTAAACTCGGAAACAACGGACATTTGCATAAACTCGGAAACAACGGGATGACGTATAAAGTACATCTGTCACTGTCAACAAAATAGCCGTCCTAGCGATTAATTTTGACATGCCTTTGACAGATGCAACGCCAAAAACGTTAGAATTTAGTTAAATGTACGTTCTATTTCACGTTTAGTTAGTGATTTACCAATATTTTTAAAAAATAATTAAAAATACTTCGACGCTGCTCCGGCAACAAAAATCGCAAATAGACATAGTGACAGAATCCTCAAATTTAGGCGACTTAATTTCAAACCCCTTTTTTTAGTTTAAGAAGCATTTATATACCTACTATAGTCTTTTACCCAGACTTACGGTTATTACACACAGGTGACGTAGATAAAGTTTTCACAATAAAAAAAAGTGCAGCAGGCGCAGTTACAGTAAGTTGAAAGTAAAATTATTATTAGAGTTGTGTAGTACACAGCTTCCATATTTATTTTTACTTTAATCCTAGGTAAGTCTTGATATTAAGGTTTGAAATTACATCAGTGTAAATGCGAATTTTCTCACGTACTCATTAAAATGTGTCACAAACAACTGATAAGGGCACCACTTCCGTTGCTTACGCTAAGTTTTCACCGACCGCCTGTTGGAAACCGACCGCAATTCATGCCCGAGACATCGATACGAATTTCGAATTCCGTGCTATATCGTAACATGAAACGTGAAATAGAAATGAAATTAAAATCATCTAATCCGAATGAAAAAATATTTAAAAAATGTGTGTTTTAGTTAAGAATAGATATAGATATTTTCTGTTATTTTGTGTCGGGGTTTTCTCTTGAATCGTGGAGTGTCATACTAAATTGCATACGGACAAACATCCAGACCTGGAACAATTATTTCTAGGTGATAAAATACTCGCTGTTTGAACAAAAGTTGTTGTGCGGTCCCCTTGTTCCTCAGCGCCATAAATGCGTCTCTTTGTAATTCATTTAGATAAGATGAGATCTAGGGTGTGAAAGACAAATTCCGAAAACTCAGTTAAGCTAGTCTCAAGTCTTGACATTCATTAATGAAATCACATGAAAATCATGATATCATCCGTATAACTGCACAACTGATAGCTCTACCAAAAAAAAAACAGTCAATTCAATTCAAATCAAAAAGTATTTTTATTTTTGTTGCAAGTCAAATGAAATTTTTCCGAAATCATAATACACAATATTTCGATAGTTAATGCTACGAATAAAAAACTACTTCTTTGGACAATGCAGTTGTTAAAAGCAAAATCTGAAAGATATTTTTGTCTGTGAGCTGCAAGTCAAGTGATTTTTTTTGAGAAAGCCGTTTGTAATATAAATCAGCATAACGATATCTAGACACTGAAACTGCACCTATTTGCAATTCCGAATGTCTAGGAGCTACACGAGTCGGCGACGCCTCGTACTCGTAAAAACGCATAACTTCGGTTACACGAGATCTCGTGACGGGCGCACCACCTACGCGCGCTAAATAAAGCGTGAATTTTTCACTAAATCCGAGCCGCGTTGGATAAACGCCATACTCTGATATCACATGACTCCAACTTACCTTCATGTCATCGAGCATGTCGCACACGGAGATCAGGGAAGCGGTGTCCGGAGTCACTTTGATTACGCCCATCTTGGACCCTGGTGGAGCACTACTGGGTTTACACACGGAGGACCGAATGGACCGTTTACGTGCAGTGATAGTAATAACCTGACGAAAGTTGGAGAGATCAGAAGCGTCAAACCCGTGGTTTTTAGGAACTACGAGCGCGAGACGCTCTCACGCTGTGACCGAGCCGCGCGGACTGAATACATCTCGACGCGCCAGTGAAAGGGTCCTGTCCTGACGTCACGCTGCGATAACGCGGTCGCCCCCCGCACCGACTTGTTGCTACATCGTCGGTCTCTTTCGCACGTGCTTGATAACGGCAAACTCTTTCTTTCTCGTAGAATGACATAGTAGGAATTCTATTTTACTGAGGCGTATTTTACTATGCGTGTTGATAAAAACTTATGGACTCTAAGTTATTCTTATTCCGTTCAAAATATCACCTCTGAAAAATTAAGTTAGTTAAATGAAATAACAATGCCGCAACGTGGGAAGCCACTTTCTATGAAGAAAAATCGTAAGAGCACAAGCGTAGTACTTTGGTAGCTATTGGGTCTACGGCTACGCTCGTAGCGTCTTTGTAGATGTCTCATTTTGCAGGCGAAGTTATAGATTAGATTTGGAAAAGGTTACATTTGAAAAAGGCCTTTTCAATCGTTTTTATCTAAAATCTATCTAGTGTCTACAAAATTGAGAAGGTAAATCATAAGGAAATACGATAATTGTGTGTAGTAAGAATTTTGAAAATTGTTACGTATACATTTCAATCGTCATTGGAACTGTCTACGCTTTCCAGAAATAAAATTTTTGACTACTTATGTATCAATCATAATGATTAAAAATATTTTGCATAAACTAAACATTTTAACTGATTCATCGCAAAAGTATGTTATACCAAGTACAAAAGTAAATATAAATAGTTCAGCCTTTACGCATTTTAATTATTTTATCATGTAACAATTTTCGAATATTCTATTCAGTTATTTCCGGTAGTAGTTTAAAGAAAAATTTGCAATTAGTATATTTTTTTCTCATATTCAATAATTTATTGATAACGATATTCTTTATCATTATTAATAAATTATCGACGCATCGCATATAAAACTTTGTGACAGCCTAATATGAATTTCAGATAAACAAAAATGGCCGTAGTAACGCATACGAAAGTTCAAGGACGAGGTAACAGACGGATTTTAGACGGCTTGTCGTTCAAAATTTAGGCGATCTCTGACCGGTTTTGTCCGACTGGTCGAAAAAAAAAATTGCAGCCAAGTTTTGATATTTAAATGTGTAATGATTTTTTAAATTTACGCGAACACTACACAGTGAATAAAACTAAATTTACGAATTCTATCGCGTTTAATTAATTTTACTTATTTTAATTCCCGACGTTTCGGGTGCTTTACAGCACTCATGGTCGGCGGGGGGGGACTGAGATGTTTGACGTCCCAATATCATTGTTAACTGAAGGTAACCGGGCTAACAGTGACATTGGGATGTCAAACATCTCAGTCCCCCCCCCCGTGACCATGGGTGCTGTAAAGCATCCGAAACGTCGGAAATTAAAAATAAGTAAAAGTAATTACTTAAACGCGATAGAATCCGTAAATTTAGTTTTATTCAATTTAAATGTGTGTTGAAACAAGACTTACAAATTCTATCCTAATAAATGTGGAAATGAACAAGGATGGTCAGTTTGTGATCATGTTTGGCATAAATGCAAGGAGCCATATACAACAGAATAAAAATACAGACTAGACAGGTAACAAATTCATTCTCGATTAAGAATGGGTTTTTTTAACGTGGTAGAGCCACGCTGTAGCTATGTTATGGCTGTATCATCCATGTGTCAGCTGGACTAGGGAAGGAATGCTGTTTTGTTTCGTATGAGTGGTGAGTGTAAAGAACCGGGCACACTTTTTTACTGATAGTGACACATTCTATCTTAGTCGTCAGTCCCTACATTTTGTATTTTAAACGAGAATACGTAGGTATCCATGGGTCATAGCACCAATTTCCATCAGGTAAATTGTGTGCACTTTTGCTAGTTTAATTGCTACAGCAAAATGCTGAAAATAGAAAACAGAATGGAGGCAAGACGTCTGGTAGTGCGGTTATCAATCCGCGTAGCGTAACTATGATGGCGAAATCTCCCATCTTAATAATTATAAGCCGCTTCAGCAAATTAGTTACATATTCGATGTTTATAGATTTTTTTAAATTTCCATGTTGATAAGGTTTCATAATTGAAAACTATTGTGCGAACGGACCGAAAAGAAATAAATTAAATACGCTGCTTAGCCGTGACGAAAGTAAACGTACGTAGACGTAAAATAATCTTAAGTTTTTGTAAGAAATAACATAACATATAACATAAACACTCACGCCTGTCACCCAGAGGGGTAGGCAGAGATTACGGACTTCCATTTGGCACGATCCTGACATACCTCTTTCGCCTCCTTTACATCCATATATCTACGCATACATGCTCGTCGGTTAAGGGTACTTCTAACGTGGCCCATTTTCAAAATATCGCCAATTTGGTCGACAAACTTTTTTCTAGGGCGTCCCTTCCCGACTCGGCCGTTCACATCTGCCATATAAATTTGCTTTGTCACTCTTTCATCATTCATTCTTTCTACGTGACCAAACCACCGAAGCATTCCTTTCTTAATCCTGGTCACAACATCATCTTGCATACCACATTTATCTGAGATGTAAGAAATAAATAAAATAATTTTTATTTTATTAGTTTCGAAGTTGTGTTTTTAGATTTTTCATGTATATTTTAGCTAAAAGGCGTTTATAAGGCTTTCTTACTCCTTCATATCTTTTAAAAACTAAACGTTCTATTACTAGGTTTGAAAGGTGGTGGTTTTGTTTGGTGAGAATCCTCTATGGTATGAATGTTTGTTTTTCTGGAGTAATAAAACAGTAAAAAGAATAATAGTAATAAAAAAGGAAGAATAAAAGTAACATAAACATAACTTCATGCAATAAAAATATAAAACAAGAATAGCATATACATTAGGCTTTTAAGGACTGGAATAAGGAATTTGCCAAATAGTCTCGTTTTATAAATATTGATTGTTCAACAAAAGTAGGTGACCCTTAATTCATTTATTTTCTTATAGGCGAATATAAAAACTGATAAATGAGAGTAAATTATTAAAATACAAGCAGCACATTTTCATCTATGAACAATTCAAATAGTTGATTAAGTTTTTTTAATGTCACATTTAGACTTAGGGACCCAGTGGAATTTCTAGGCATCTAATAAGCCCGTGGAAGAATAAATCAGTTGTTAAACATAATTTTTAACAAATAGCCTGGGTGTGCTATTTTTATCTTGAGTAAAATTGCAGCTGAAGTCATTCTTGTTTAAGAGCTATCTACAAGAGTTCAGGGACTGTAAGATGCATTTAAAATCAGATAGACTAATAGCTCGTTCTCAATATCGATCTTGATATCGCGGAAAAAATATTGAATAATTATGTGAAATATTCTGATTGATAATACTATGACATCACACAAATGTGACAATTTTGTCAAATCTACGCAGTACCTGATTTAGAGTTCCGACAGTCCTAGATTAACTATGAATATGCCCCTCCCTGAAAGTAAATGTCGACCATCGCCCATGAATAATCAGGAAAATTGCAGGCACGTTGCCAGCCTTTTTAAAAAGAGTAAGTCGTATCGTTTTCGAAAACTCGCAGGTGGTTGATGATTCCACAAAGAAGTATTGCGAAAGAGAAAACTCCTAGCAATTCGCACAATCATTGGGGACCTTCAAAACGCAGAGGGGGAAACCATTCTCAGAACCTGCACTGCAGCTTACCTGGCCGTGGTGAACACGTTCTTCAAAAAGAAAACCGAGCACCTGATTACCTACAGGAGCGGTCGGAATGCCACTCAAATCGACTATCTACTGACCAGGAGAAGTCATATCAGTCGCGTGGCCAACTGTAAGGTCATACCCGGTGAATGTCTCACTGCCCAACACCGACTTCTTGTCATGGACCTCTGCGTAAAACCCCGTCGCAGACATGCCGAACGTTGCCGCTGTCAAATCAAGTGGTGGCTGCTGGATCAAACCAGATACTCAGAGTTTGACTCTGCCGCTGGGGATATTAGTCTCGACACAGCAGGTAAGTCCGTCCAAGAGTGCTGGAAAACCATTAAGACAGCAATCACAAAGACGGCAAAGCAAGTCCTCGGCGTGGCGAAAGGGGGTCGCAAAATCGACAAAGAGACCTGGTGGTGGGACGCCACAGTCCAGGATTTATTACGGGAGAAGAAAGCGCTCTTCAAGACGTGGCAAGCGACCAAATCTCCTGAAGATCGTGCATCTTACAAGACACCGAAAAGAGCTGCCAAGAAAGCTGTAGCCAGAGCCAGGCGTGACCACTTGCAACCATTATATGCGAAGTTGGACACTCCTGAGGGGCACAAGCTTATATATAAACTGGCGCGCTCTAGGGCCAAAGCAGCGCAAGATATTACTCGCTGCTGCAGCGTCAATGGCCCTAATGGCGAGCTCCTGTATGATGATCGTGCGGTGAAGGAGAGATGGCGCTCTTATTTCCACGTTTTGCTGAATACTCAGCACCGGGAAGTGCACCCTCCCGAACTACTACCGAACCATGAACTCGTGCCACCGATTACGCCTGACGAGGTCCTCGCATCTCTTCGTCACATGGAGAATCGGAAAGCTGTCGGACCGGACGAGGTGCCAATTGAAGCCTGGAAAGCGCTGGGGGCTCGTGGTGTGTGCATTCTTACTAACCTTTATAATAGAATCCTGAGCGACCGAATAATGCCCGATCAGTGGCGGCTTAGTATAATAACGCCGGTCCACAAGGGTAAAGGGTCCGTTCAGGATTGCGGTAATTACCGCAGTATAAAGGTGACGTCACACACCATGAAGCTCTTCGAGCGCATTATTGACACCAGGATCCGACAGGAGTGTACAATATCGGACTCCCAGTACGGTTTCCAACCAGGACGCGGTACTATGGACT